CCCATGCAATGCATAGGATATGGCACCCCTCCCTGTACCTCACCTTTGTGATCAAGATCCCCTCTCCATCCTTGGTGGTGGGGCAGGATGGAGGCGAGGCACCCATACCCCGTCGGGTGAAGACAAATGTTCAAATTTTTAATGCTTAGCATAATTTACATTAATCATTGTAACTTAGTAAATTTTTCATTAAATTTTTGCAAACATTATATATTCGTAAAAGATATTACTAATTAGCATAATTTACTAATTTCTATAAAATCAATAAGTATAGTCAACAATTATCAAATAATTTAGGGAAACTCTTTAACTAATAATCCATAAATTTTTATATAAATAATAATTAAAAATTAGGAAACTAATCTATGAAACAAATATTCTCCAAAACTACTTAAAAAATAGTCCATTATTATTATTATTCAACTAAATAATTGTTAAAATTTTAGAAAAATTAAATTAGGAAAATAATCTATTAGAAATTGTTTCATATTTATTTAAATAACAATCCATTATTATTATTTTAATAAAAAATTATGAAATAATCTTGGAAACTATAAAATCTATCCATACTAGTCTAGACCACTTGGTTTATTTCAACCATATTTGGTTTTACATTAATTAACAGCAAATAATTTGCTTTTAATGAAAATTAATGTAATTTACCATAATTACATTAATTTACTATAATTACACCAGTCTGATTAATAGTAAATAATTTAGGCATAAAAAGTAAATAATTTACATTAATGCACATTAATTTATCATTATTGTAAAAAACTCATTTACTTTTAAATAATTTTTGAAATTTATCATAAATATTGTTATTTAATTTACTATTAGTTAATTAGTTATAGAAAACTATTAGAATTGTAAGGATGCTAATTTTCCCTATAAAACTAGGGCCCTACCCTGCCCCACCCCAAATGGGACAAGTTTTCTCAAATTTTAAATGGGGATGGAGAAGAGACAGGGTGGGGATGGGGAAAATATTTTTGCTCCAAACTAGAGATGGGCTTTACATATAATTCCCCCGAGTGGGACAAATCAATTGGAAAACAAAGTGAGACTTGTTTCAGTTGGGGAAAAACCCTTCACAGACCCCACAGTCGTCTCTTTTGGGCTTGTTCCTAGCACATCTTAATCATTCAAACATTCCTACGTTTTTCTTGTTTTCTAGAAAAGAAAAAAAAAAGAAAAGAAATAGAGAACTTAATCGTCACATTTGAATATAATGAAAGGAAGATTTGATAGGCATGCAATCACTAATATGCCACGTCCGGGGCATATACATATACCCAAATTTAATTAATTGATATAAGAAGATGATACATGCCCTAATTATTTATAGTTCAGCGAAGTCGTTTTTTAGGTATTTCCCTAAAGAAACGTAAAATAAATTTCATTAAAAGGATCAACAAAAAGAAGAGGTAGCAGTGAGTACCTGTCGGGATATGTTTCAGATTATTGTTTGATATACTTAGCACTTCCAACAAGGAGAGGTTCCGCAATAGGCCCAAAGATAAGGTTTCATCGGTGAGACCGTTATCCCATAGATATAATTCCTTGAGATTCGTCAATCCAACTA